TATAGATACATGGATTGGTGATGCAAATTCGGACCTGTATCTTGTCGTTGCAGCGTTTATTTGTATACATGTACTAGTAGTTTCTTGTTAGGGGCAACATTGATACATGTAAGATCTTTTTAATCAACATAATTTCAAAAATTCTGCAAAAATTATGTAATGTTCTTCATTATGTCCGCAGCACAAAATAATAATGTATAATAATAAGTATAACTCAGACTGTACACCGTAGCATCGACGGTCGATACTCCCGCTGTACTGTCTTTGTGCATACTTTGAGGTATCCTCATAATAACCTCATAGTATTGAACATGATGTGGTGTGGTGTCATAAGTGTTTACTACAGGTATACTGTTCAAGATGGATTATTTATTGGATATATTTTTAGTAGATTTGTTGTGCATATTAGTGACCTAATTTAAATTTTTAACTGTTTCTCAAATATTATTGAACAGATTGTATGGGACTATGCACAGACCTGATTAGGTTCTGGTTGCAATCTATGCATATTAACTATTTGGACATGGCATTAACAGATTGTAATAAAAGTTGGTACATAGATGGTATGGGACTATGCACAGACCTGATTAGGTTCTGGTTGCAATCTATGCATATTAACTATTTGGACATGGCATTAACAGATTGTAATGAAACTTAGTACATAGATGGTATGGGACTATGCACAGACCTGATTAGGTTCTGGTTGCAATCTATGCATATTAATTTTTTGGACATGGCATTAACAGATTGTAATGAAACTTGGTACATAGATGGTATGGGACTATGCACAGACCTGATTAGGTTCTGGTTGCAATCTATGCATATTAACTATTTGGACATGGCATTAACAGATTGTAATAAAAGTTGGTACATAGATGGTATGGGACTATGCACAGACCTGATTAGGTTCTGGTTGCAATCTATGCATATTAACTATTTGGACATGGCATTAACTGTTTATATGGCAGGCCTCAAGCAATTTCATTCAAACTTAATCTTTATACCTCTTTCATACACATCTGTAGTTAATATGCCAAATACTGTGGAATACTTTATTTTCGCTGGAATTAATTTGCGCTGAAAAGGCTTTTTGGGCGTTTTGTATGGAACTTATTTTCACTGATTTTTTATGAATTTAATGTGAAATATAGGAAAAAAAGTATATTGGCTGGATTTTATTTTCACGGAATCATCCATTCAGCGAAAATAGCGAAAATAAATTCCAAGCGAAAATAAAGTATTCTACAGTACTATTCCAATATTTAAACATAACCTGACTATACTTTTCATTGTTTGACAAAGTCACTAAAAACATGACAGGGACTATGGCATTTACAATGACTTGTTCATACTTAATTGGATTTTTTTTGCTTTTTTCTAGCAGCCTCAGGAAATAATTTTCAAGGGAAGGCCCTTTATCTTGATGTCCAAGCTACAACACCAATGGTAATTTTCAAATACATGATAAAAAATAAACATTCTGGAGCCTATTTTAATGTGAAATTTTTTTAATTTGTAGCAAGACATCACTGTTAACATATATTCATGTTTGTTTTTTGAACTTAATTAAAGCGAACCTAAATGTGGCCTTAATTTATAGCTGTGTATATTCTAAACTGTATTCGAAATAATATTGCAGTGGTATAATTTTGTTTTTAATTATAACTGTAGCTTGGATAGGCATTTGGAATGCTTGCAATTAAACACCTGCATGGAGGCCATTCATGGAGGGGAACGAACATATTTAACATCCGGGTACTTTTCAAAGCTATGACGTTTTAGTATCTGATCGCATTCGTACATTCGCCATTGTACATAGCCATTCATGCTGCCAAGCATTGTGTACTACTAGTATAAACTCAACTTTTATGTGCACAATGTGCTTTTTAGAACTTGGGTTAGAGCATTATGCGTTTGAACCACAGTATTCTGAGAGTGGAAGCCCAATTGTTTTAAAGTACCGTACTTCTCTGATCGTAAGCCCATCCTTCTATTTTTACTAGGTATTTATCGAGTTGAGAGCATTCACGATTCTTTAAAATATGCGTGTAAAAAGTATGTTTCTTTTCATGATAATCGTGATTGGCATGGTAGTTTGGTTCGTGCCTTTATGAGAAAACTCGCATTAATTTCAGAGTGCGTGGCGAACGTACACAACGTGGTTCGCATCCTTTCTATTCTGTCATTTACTCAGAATGAACCCTGATGTTGCAATACTGGAGTACCGTAATCCATATTTCTTTGAGTAGTAGCTTTCGAAAAGCCAAAAATGTGATCGTTAATTTAAGTCGTGTACCTGGTTATTGGGCATGGTTTACTATGAGACTATCATGAAAGGCCTAGTGTTTGAATGATGTGACATGTTAGTGACCGTGAAAGGTGTTTAAATTTTTCCTCCACACTCGGTTTACCCACGGTTACTATTAACCGTCGTTTACTTTTTGGAAATTGCGAATCGCCAGTTTTTAGGGAAAAAAATCATCGTTTTTTCGTTGCAATCAGTGCTACAGATCGCATTTTAACATTGCGGTAATTCACTTCCGCATTGCGATAAAAAATCATCATTTTGATTGGTTAATGAAAGACATGACCTGTTAGGTCAAAGGAAGTTGTTTCAGGTCAAATCGTGCTGAAAAACACCATGTTGAAAAATTGCTTTGCATCGAGAGTTTGCGTACGATCGAAAACATACCAAAACGAAGATAATAAATGCCTTTGACTGTTTCCCCACAGACCCTACCCATTATTTCACCGTAAATTCAGACTGTATGTAAATCATATGTGTTTTTTTTTTATGAACATGTTTGTTTCTTCATTGTAAGTGTCGTGGAAATCAATGACAATGAGTTGGTCCTCGAGTATAAGCTCATCCCTTACTTTTCACTTACGTGTTCATGCCTCCGGGCTTATGATCAGGGAAGTACGGTATACTGTGAAGATTCAGATCAGTCCAGTGTGAGTGATGAGATTATATCGCCGACGATGCCTGTTGTTCGGAAGTCTCCGAACAATCTGCTTGGTGCTCCTGTGACAATTGTCCCATGAATTGCCAGTGCAGCCCTGAAGAAAATGTTTCCACCACCACCCTACGAACTCAAGATTGCATACTCCAGCATCCAGGCTTTAAAATAATTTGCACACACAGTGCAGTACTGGAAACAGCATTTATTAGACATTTAGACGAAAAAAATGCCTGTCTCGATGAATCGCACATCCATAATGTTTGTATGTTGATACGCTTGTAAACAACATTAACGTAAAAGTCGAAACAACCTAGACTAGAAGTCAATTCACCAGTCCAGTCAACTGTGGCTCCCTAAGTTGTTTATATTTAATCAGATACTATTTCGTCATCATGCTTTGTTACCTTACCTCATGAGGAAGTCTTTCACAGGTTTATGGTTTCTCATATTTAAATCATCATAACTCTGAAGATAATCATTTTTTTTAATTTTTTTTTTCAAATTTATAATCAATATACATAACTTGATAAATACAAACACCAAATTAGGCTCTATTTAGTTCCCCTTCAAGAATCAATGTGGATAACGAGTAAAACAAAAACACTACAAATTCTTGATATTTTGTTGAGTGAAATGTTCCTTCAGATAAATTACAGCAAGTAAAAAAAGAAGTAACCAAACTTGTTTCTATGGAAATGGTTACTGTGTTTTCTACATAGCTTTAAAACATATTCTGGAGTCCATTTTGAATTGAAAATTTATCAAAATACGTACAGCTAAAGTTCACAAGGCAATTTATTTGTTCAGACTTTTAAAAATAACCAGTTATAGGAGTAACGATGCAAAGTAGTGTATTCGTTTATTATTTTGACTAGTGGCCTAGTTGGATAGGCATTCATGTACATGTATTAGGCATTGCCAAAGATTCGTAAGATTAGCATATGTAAGTGTGTAATATGTGATGATGATCTCATAAGAATTGAAGCGGTCGAGGACTTATAATTCGGTCTCCGTCTGTGCGTCTGTCCGGAGTCATGTTTCAGAATCCTTTGGACCGATTCTGTTCATTCTTTGCATGTGCCTAGTACTTTATGTGGGACATATGCACATGCAGTGGTTTAGCGATTCGATTCAAAATGGCCAACTGGCAGCCATCTTGTTTTTTTGAAAATGTCGTATTTTAGACATGCTTTGTCAGTTTTCATTCAATTTGTTAGATTATACATGTTAGAATACATGTCCATGACAATTTGTTTCAAAATCGGATCAAGGATGGCCGACTGGCAGACATCTGACTTTTTGGCCTTACTACTATATTTCCAAGATTTATGTACCATTTTCATTCATATTTGGCACATACATCATAAATGTCAGTTTGTTTCATAATCAGATCAAAGATGGCTGAATAACGGCTGTTTTTATTTTTGGCCATATTACTATATCTCTGTCACCCATGTATCACTTTCATTGATATTTAGCATGTCATAAATGGATACATGTACATGTCAATTAAATTTGCAATTTGATCAAATATGGCTGACTGGCAGTCATCTTGTTTGTTAAAAATGTGATAACTTGGACATGCTTTCACTTGTGATCTATGTTTTTCTTTGCTATGTCTTAAACCAGAGGGGTCGTCACACAACAAGTGTTCGAATTTGATGTAAATAAACAATCTGTTGTATTTGCGACTTGGAACTCAAGTTTCAAGGGCACGCTCGAGACAATCCCTCCGCTTTAATATGACAAGCACAAAGAGAACTTTATTTAACGGGGACTGTGTCATTTTCAATGACTTGTTTAATCGAGAGTATGTGTTTTGCACATATTACAGGAAATACTCTTGTTTTATTTCTGTTCACGCATTCAAAGTCAGTATTCACTGCATTCTGTGACACTATTGGCTAGAAATACATTTGATTGATGTGCGCTTACACATACTCATAAATCGGTAGACCATACATGGTTATGAAAAGTTACATATTACATACATATTACATCTTTTGATAATTTTTTTTTTTTTTTTTTTTTGGAAAGGATCCACGAGTTCATGATGCTATGTTGCCATATAATGTCAGTTACTATGGTAACCCTCATTCCCGAACGCATGCGTATGGATGGGAAACTGAGAAAGGTGTGGAGAAAGCACGGAAGGTAAGTTCTGCTTCTGTCGGGTTTTAGATATTGAAGGAGAAGTCCAGGCTATAACAGCATGATACTCACGATCGGGGGAACACAAGAGTACCCATCTTGGGCTTAACTTGTCGCAGCATTATTTTTTTGCAGAATTGCATACTTTCTACAAAGGCCCATCAGGACAATCATGAACATTCTTTTGCAGTGGGGGGATCTTTGTCTATCATTTTGATTTTCCAGGTAGGAATTATGGGTAAAATGTGACATCACATTTATTGCAAAAAATAAAATGAATGCAAATTATTTTTTGTCATTGAGTATAGAATAATACTTCATTGATCAATTGTATAATATATACAAAAAAAAATGCAATAATTAATATTTTCATATTTTTTTGACTGCCCTCATTCATTCTCTTGGGGAAGAATCTCATCAGTGCTTATAACTCACCACTAGAGGGCACACTTCATCATAATCTGTGTTCTAACATCCCAGAAACAAAAGGAATGCTAATATCAACATAATTTTATCCAGCAAGTTGCAGATATCATCGGCGCTGATCCCAGAGAGATTATATTCACCAGTGGTGCTACTGAATCCAACAACATTGCTGTAAAAGGAGTAGCTAGGTTTTACAAGAGTAAAAAGAAACATGTTATCACTACACAGACAGTAAGTTGGCCCGATTCCTATAAAAACAATGTTATTCTTATGAACAGAAACTTTTTTTGCCTGGGACACGTCATAAATCAGTTGTATTGTGACGCTTGGTTCATGGGAATCAAATCAAGCTAAATATTTTTGCCATCAGTCAGTAATTTCTTGAACTTACTGAATATACTGCAAATATAGCTTATGTTGTGATCCCGTTGTTGCCATTTTGTTTTAATGAATGTGGTTCTAGTGCCATATCTATGACTTGCTTCGACTGATTATGTTCAAATTTTATATATTCATTATACAGCATGTCATAGATATATAGATTTATTGGTTTGATGATCCTAGCCCTATTCAAAGTTGCCGAATGGTGGTCATTTTTGTGCTAAAAAAATCATCAAATAATAGGCATTTATGGATGGATTTCGTTCAAACTTATAATGTACATTAGACATTACAAGTTCCTGATGCACGTCATTTTATTTTTCCGATCAGATTCAAAATGGATGACTGGCAGCCATTTTGTTTTAATGAATGGGCTTCTAGAGCCATCTCTGACATGCTTTGACTGATTATGTTCAAATTTTATATATTCATTATACATCATGTTATAGATATATATATGTATTCAAAATGGCTGATTTTGTTTTAATTAATGCTGTTCCAGAGCAGTATCTCTCAATGTGGACGAGTACTTGTTTGACGATCAGATACAATGTCAATCATTTTAATGTTAAACAATCATCATAATCATATTCCCGACATGGTTATATTCCAGCTATATTACTATAAACAAAACTATATATCTTGAATTCGATAACTAACGGCATGGCTTGTTTTCTTTATTTTTTCAGGAGCATAAATGTGTGCTAGATTCATGTCGGGCTTTAGAAGCGGAAGGTTTCAATGTAACCTATTTACCAGTGCAAAAGAGTGGTAGAATTGATTTAAATGTAAGTAACACATGGAATGTGAGTTATGGTAGGGATTTGGGAAAAGGGGATTAATTAAATAGGATCAAAAAATAATAAGTATTCTAGCAAATAGATGTTGGTCGGATTGGGGGATATTTACCAGAGATTACCTTGTTGAACTGGGTAACCCATGACGCTGTTTTTTTAGTTATTTTTGTGCGAGGCTTTTTTTCTTATATTACATTTTGCCACAAAGACCATATTTCAGTTTGGGAGTACATGACAGGGCTGTGTGACCATCTCCCTATCATAATGGCTTTATAGCAATTTATTGTGCTATTGTGTCCCAGAGTTTCTATAGTGAATGAGTCTCGGCCAGTGGATTTAGCCTTCCTATTGAGTCTGAAGCACACTCGCCCAGGGTTGGGGTTGACCCTTTCTAATGTTCAAACCAATCTGGTAAAACATCAAATTCTAAATGGTAATTTATGACTGATTTGACACGCCGACTAGAAAACTGGGTAAAATAAAATAAAATAAAAAGGAAAGAATATGTTATGGTTGACACAAGATGGCGCTATTCATAAACCACAGTACAAACAGAATTACGGTTATTATAATTTAGGCCACACTGATTTAATTTTATGGATGACATCCTCTGAAGACCCCAAAACTAATACAAGAGTGCGAAAAAAAAATCCTGCCAAAAAAAAATGCTGTTAAAACCACAGGACTACGGAACTGTTATTACGAATTGAACCATAGTGTATCAAAAAAACAACAAGTCTTTATTTGGAGGAGGCACATGCTGATGTACACATTTCGTACTGTATTACTGTCACAGGTATCATCATCTTTGATTATGAAAAGGCAAGAGGATAAGGCAGATGTTAGCTTTGCCAAAGGCATACACATCAACTCAATAATAAAGAAAAATTTACTGTGTTGTATTGAAAAAAAAAATAATTAAAAATGAACAATAAGTTTGTCAACAGCAACCTGGAAATTAACTTCTTTGACATTCAAACTACAGCTTTTAAAGTGACACTTCAGATAGACTAAGTGTAGACACAAATGCTCAAGAACTACTTCAACTATGTAACAAATTATAAGAGGCTCGATATTGAAAAACAAACAAACAGAGAGTCAACAAAAATTTGGATGCAGAAAAGTATGTACATGTACCTTGATGAAAATTTGTCATATAATCAAAATATTACTGACTGTATGTGCAAGCAAATTATCCAAATCAGAATATGAAAAAATAAATAATAAGAAACTTTTCTTCACCCCGAAAAGTTTTGTCGACTTTCAATGCGGACAAAGCAACCGAACTGACTTGTCGCCTGACCGCTTTTAGGCCACCATACACCTCCACTCCTCTCCCATTTCTCTCATCGTTGCAGAACAAACGCGGGACAGCCACTCTGGACAATATGTCCTTAAAGTTGTCTGAGCGAAATTCGCTTGCCGCTACCAATCTCTCGTATAGCTGTGTAAACATCACATCTCCCTGGCCAACATCAATTGCGTACGAGTCTACAACAATCCCTCCGTTTTACCTCTGAACTTTTATGCTCACGTATTTTGGTGGTGTGGTCGCCATGTTGGATCATTTATGACAAAATTGGCATGTTTTGAGACAATCTCTTTCCCATAGGTCTTTGCGCTTTACGTAACGTGCATCGAACTGTGCGGAGTTTGGTTTTGAGGTAGTCCAAAACGAGTTTATGACAAGTCGGCGCTTTGCGACAATAGGAGTCGGCAAGTTCCTGACAGAAAACCGTTCTGTAGAGACTCGTCCTCGGAGATTTTTTTTTTTTTTTTGAGAACAGGCGAAAAATAATGCGCGCGCGGATGTCATCCATAAAATTAAGTCGGTGTGGCCTTAGTTAGTCTTGAATAAAATATGCATTATGTATTTTTAGTTGGTAAAAAAAAGTTGGTACCAGTTTTTGTGTTGAACATTACTAGTTTTGTGTCACAATACGTGTCCTGGTTTGGTCATTAATTTTTTTTTTTTTTTGGTTTTACTTTAATTCAGGAATTTAAGGCAGCCATCAGACCAGACACTGTACTGGCTTCCATCATGACAGTGAATAATGAGATTGGAATAATGCAGCCAATAGAAGAAATAGGTAATACACAACATAGTTAACATCTTGTGTTTATGTAAATAATTTGTTAAAATTGGTTTAGTGAAATTTACTTTAGTGTACTCCAGCCAATGTGTAATATGGTACCTGCGATCTGGAAATTTGTTTGAAGTAAATTTTGTCTTACATGATCTATACAGGAATTTTTAGCTCAATTTTGAATATTTATGTATTACGACCTGACCGAATAATACGTGTTGTTTTCTCATCGAATCTTGAATCCGTACGTTTCACAATTAATCTGCGCTGCGCATGTAAAGCAAATGTTATGAGCTCTACTCCCCGAAATAAAATTTCATTTGTTGATAAATTTTGTTCTCAAAATGGCCAAAAACCTTAAATCTAATAACAAAAGTTTTCCTGTTTAAATATTTTACACACATCCTTGTGTTTAACCATAGGCTCTCTATAGTCAACTTTGGGAACACCGTGGTTGATAGTTAAAGGTCAAAAGGACGTATGTGTCATTATCAGTAGTTAATCTCTTTGATAATCCTTCAGAGTCTTTCTATTCAAATATAATGTTTGTTGAATCTGTTTGAAGAGGTACAGTTGTGATATGCAATAATTTTTAGTTCAACAGACCTAAGAACTAGTCGAGATTGCGATAACATTCGGCAGTATATCTGCTTTTACAGAAATCTACTGAATCCTGTTGTGTTCTGATCTGATCCATGCAATTTAATCAATACAAAATAATGTTATTTAAGGATATTCGGGTTGAATCGAAGATTTTTTGTCATTTTTTTCTAGCTTTCATTACTATGGTTACTATATTGCCATCAGTGCACAAAGATTAAATGAAAAAAAAAATGAGGTCACTGTACAAACCAAATATTATTGAGTACGGTATGATTAAAATTTGCATTTTTTGACTGGTTTCTATGGTGATATTATTACTTCATATCTTGAAATTTTGCTTGTTGACATAGTGTAAAACTTGTATTATTGATAGGAGTCGTAATATTGTTGAAACATTTTTAAAAAATGACAATTTTATATGGTGAGTTTCCAGTGTTATAGTTTCTCTTTATAATGATTGGAAGTTCTCTCCCACAATGCATTGCATGTATGCACAGTAAAATTCTTAACAGTGCAACCTTTAAATGTTGTGCAAACTGGTTTAACCTTTTCACCATCAGACTTCCTTGCCCAAATTTTCTGCTCTTTTTTCTTATATTCTACAGTATTTCTGAAAATTAACCCTAATTTTGGAGCCCACAGAAGAAATTTGAGTCAATATGTAGTTTTTACCCAAAAAAATTTGCTATTTTTGTTCCAATCTTCTGAAGGAAAGTGCAGACTATAAACAGGACTTTTTTGTGAATTTATGATGAAAAGAGAGAACTGGTGGTGAAAAGGTGAAGTGAATAAATGATCTGTAGAATTTTGAAATTTTTTAACTTTTTTCTCCTCATAGCAGAACTTTTACTGTATACAACTGTATATCAGTCTTAATTATTTGCTGGGTATTGTTACCGCTTATTTGGTTTCCCAGTGAAAACCCAATGAATATTCAAAATTTGAAAATGGAATTTATTTTTTTCTTTCACAAACTAATGAATTTAAAACAAAGTGAATATCCTGCAACATGAAATCTACTAAAATTAAACCCAGTGAATATTCCCCATTCAACATTATAAAAATTTCATTGTATTTGTTATTCTTACATTAATATATTGAAGATGCATATCAGTTCATGTTAGGTATGCCGTAGTATGTGCCTATTCGTTAATCAATGAATTGCATTTTTCTTGATAATATTTGCAATGTTTTAACTAATCCATTTTTTCAATGCAACAGGGGCCATATGCAGGGAGAAGAAGGTATTCTTTCACACTGATGCTGCCCAGGCTGTGGGAAAAGTGCCGATGGACGTCAATCAACAAAAAATAGATCTCATGTCCATAAGTGGGCATAAGATTTATGGGCCAAAAGGTAAATTTGTGGGAATGGCAATAATTATTTTTATGGACAAGGCATCTTGTATTTGCAAAATCATTTTCGTCTTTGAAAAAGTACATTTATATTAGCTACACTTCTTGACAAATCTGATTTGCGATGGCACAAGGCCTAAAATAGCTTGACTATAAATTCTATGGTAGATGATTCTATGCTATGAAACCATGTCCATCATGGATTAGGCTTTAGGTATTTAAAGAGTAAATAACCTGTCTTCCCTTTAATGTTTTTCAAACAAAGTAATGTTGAAATGTGACAGTAATACTTGGTATCATCATACATCTGTCACTGTATTGCCATAAGTTACAGAATATCATAATTTTGTGGTATTGCACTGTGTATTTTCATCTTACCATATTAGGAAACGTGAATTCCAAATATGAAATGATTAGGCACATAAGCGTCCACTAATAATAAAAAAACAACATGGCTGCCACCAGGGTTTGACTGAAC